CCCTCCGGAAAATTAGCAGAACGGGATTCCAGGCTGGCGGGTGAGTGCTACACCGGTATAAGATTGTATTATATATTAATATAATTCATTTTTGGCATTTTAAATGTACTTAAATAAATGAAATGAAATGAAAATTACGCGCAATCGGACCACTTTAAACACAAGAAACAAACACGACTAATGTATGATTCACGAAAACCTACTCAATAAAAAATTACAACTTGACAGTAGAGTGTAAAATTGTACCAATATTGTACAGGAATATTTTTGGTTTCTATTAACCAGCACATAAATCATGTTTTGAATTCTCAGGCTTTTAGCTAAAAAAAAATTTTTTTTCAACAAGTTTATAGATACAACGAAATACAAAAACACTACATCGTGCGAAAAATGTAATGTGCAGCATAAATCTCCGTCAATTTGGATTTCTCCAAATTGCTTAATTATTTTTATATTTTTATCTAGTTAAAATATGATTCTTTCTTTTAAAATCCTCGTCAATCTTGCTCTATGGTTGCTCATTCAGAATTCAGATTATATACTGTTAAAGATTTATCATTTAACTTTAAATATGGCTTGAAAATTACATTTGAAAATAACAAATATTGTGCATTATTCAAATACATATTTAATAGCTTCAGATTTTAATTTTAAAAATTAGCATTTGATTCAACTTGCAAAATTACACTAATGTCATATCCTCAAAAATGTTATAAAATCACGTATTATTAAAATTACTTTAGTAATACGTGATTTTACTCTTAAGATTACTCATAATTTTTCAAAAATGATTTTACATTAAAGCGCTTTATCTATGTTACACATGGATTTGAACGAGAAAAACAGATGTTTCATCCTCTTAAACATAAATATTGCAAACCCCATTTTTCAAAACAAGGTAGACGTGGTTAGGTACTAACTTAAATATACCGATTTTTGTAACTTAAGAAATATTCTTTTAAATTTATCATTACTGATAACAAATTAATTACACAATACTTACCCGCCAGTTATCTATTTTATGAACAAACAGAAGAAAGATTACAAGCAGATCCATTTACATTAATAACTGACCTCCCTTACAAAATTACAAGCTATACATCACAAATTCACAACAAGATATTAAGCATATCTTCTAATCTCTACAGAACAATAATATTTGTTTTAAAATTTAAAATACTGGGTAAATTCAGATTTATCTGTTGGAATCATGTTACCATAATGTTGTCACACAAACTGATCTCAGAGGGTATACTGAAATAATATAATAATATTAACATAAATAATAATACTCCGCTCATAGTTACTTTATTAAATCAATTTTCTGACTACATTATTAAAACATTATCATTTGTCTCATATCCATTGTCCAACCAACTAACATTATAAATAATATAGAGTACAATATATTATATTAATGTTTTATACATGCAATAATAATATTAATATTTACTTTGAACATTTAAAAATAAATATTAAATATCAAGTGTAAATTAAAATGTCTAAATTAGATTACTAAAAACCGATTACATCATATATATTCATATTAACTTAAAATCAAAATTGCAATAGTCAATTTCTTTTTAAATTATTAATCATGATTGAACAAAAAACAAATCATATTTATGCCTATCAAATACACGATTGAAAACAAAAAATGCACCTAATTCGCCAAAAACATGATTTTTATAATATAATATAGTATTCTTACTTTAAATTTGTAGCAAATGTTATATGATGAAAAGGAAAAATTACTTTATATTGGAAAATAAACCTGGAGTACAATACAATAAATAAACAGGCAAAGACATAGCTCACATATAAATTCAAGTGCACAAGGGAGGATTACACTTGAAATGTTAATATATTATGTAATATATCCTATATACTTTATTCAAAAATTAGATTGTTAGATAATTACAATACAATTTAATATTCTAAAATTAAAAATTAAATGTTTGATTTAAATATTTAAACCTTTTTCAAGTTTTCAAGTTTTGTAATTTAACTGTACATAATATCATAATATTAAAATCAGGGAGATTACATTAAATTAGTTTCTATTATTTACTATTTTTTTTTTTATATATATATATAAAAATTAAATTAAAACATACAATTATAATTTTATGTTTTGGACTAGATACATTATAGAGGATATATCAAACTTGTATTATAAATATTATATAGGTATTCATCATCATAGTGTAATATTTCAATTATAATAAAATATTAAGTCAATTTAGCTATTACATTCCTCTTAGTTATTATTTTATTATTAAATAAAATATTTTTAAATTTAAGTTATAGTATAGTAATTGTAATTGTAAAAAAAATTGTKAACCAAATAAGATTACATTTTTTGAAAATTTTTTTTTTCTTTGCAGAGTTCTAAAAATGAATTTCATTGGAATACAAAATTTACAATTGGCATAATTTTATATTTTAATCATAAGAACTGATGGGAGTCGTTTTTTACAAGGTTTGTCAAGTGATAAATATTCTACAATATGATAACATTTAGTATTAAACAACAACTAAAAATAAAAAAACAGATTATCTAACTAAATGAATTTAGAAACTAGAATAATATCAATTGTATACTTATTAGAATGTTTTTTAAAAAAACTTAAAAAATAAAATGTTTAAGTCAAGATATTTGAATATGGATGATACATTTCTCACATTTTTTTAACCTTCAAAAAATGAAATATTTTTATGATTATATAAACCATATATTTAAGATCTTAAATTAAAAATGTCGAACATATGGACTTTGAAATTAAGAGTACGTTTGATATTGGTAATTTAAATATTTGAATAACTATTTATTTTTTTAATAAGATATAATGTATTTTAAAAATTCATATTGATAATATATATTGTTACCTCAACATTAGAACAAAGTTAAAATAATATTCACTGATAAGGATAAAACAAAATTTTAATTAAAAATTGCATAAAATGATATTTCTTGTAAGAATCAAATACCATTTATTTATAAAATTAAAATTGTTACAAATAAAATAAGAATATAAATTTAGAAGCTGTTGTGATATTCAATTTGGATAGTAAAGTTGATTATTTTAATCACATTTATACAATATAGTATTAAGACTTTATATTCACATAAAAAACAGTGAGTTTACCCGAGCTACCTAAAAGAACTCAGACTTCTGAGGTACTGTGGTGTACATCACCATTGTTTAATAAATAAAATTTTTTTTTAATTTTACAAATTTTAAAAAATAATTCATAAAACTCTTTTCTTTTAAATACTTGAACGGTGCCATTCAAGTGAAATAATTCATATGATACTTGCAATTTGTAAGACAAATTAAAAAAAAAAATTGTACATATACATTTTTCTATAAATTGTGATTTCATTTTGTCCCATTTCTTTTTAATGCCCTAAAACTTTCCACTTAATTCTTTTTGAAATAAAACTCTTTAAATTCACATACTAAAATATGAACCTACATTTTGTGTATATATATAAATATACATACATACATATATATATATATATATATTACTAATTACCTAAAAAGGTCTTACAACCTTTTAAGTACTTTTGTTTACATACTATACAGATTCATTCAAACTTGATAAACATAATATTTGTTCTTAACTGTCAAGACAAATCAAGGTAGAGTATAAAATAACAAAAGCAAATTTCCTTAAAATTTTGTGCTCCATCCCTTGTGAGATGTATTAAAAACATTTTAAAATAAATAACAACTTTAACAAAACAAAAGCACAAGAACAATATTCTTTCGGCCTTGTAAAAAAATTATAAATGTATATGTGTATAATATACTTACATACATATAGAAGCAATAAGAAAAAATATTTATGTATATTATGTGGGTATCGGTGTATATGAATTATAATACATACATAAATATTAATTAAAAGGGGGTGCGCGTCTTTTGATATTTTATTCGTGTATTTATCGGCTTTAATTCAGTTACATAATAATTAATAACCGATAAACAAAAGAGCGATTGAATCAGTCATTGACCCCCTCAGCAAAATGAAAAATTCAAATTTTATACATGTTTCTAAAAGGCACTTTGGTTAACTGAGTGTAATAAACAAAAAAAAATAATAAAAAAAATTGGTTAGTGTTAAATAAAACTCAAGGCGCTTTTTTATTAAAAATCAGGGCCGAAAACGGTTTTCGGGCTGTTTCATTAGAAAAAATAACTTTTATTTCACTTTAAACTAAAAAAAATACATATATGTATGTGTGTGAGTATATAATATATATACTAGTGTCAAATAAATTTTTGGGCGCCATATTTAAAAAAAATCAGGACCCATCTTTTTGATATCTTCTAACTGAACTGGACCAACTTATGGCTAGGACTTACAGATTCAAAAGAAAAATTATTTTAATATGAATGGTGATAACTGATTGGTTATAAACTCCAAGAATGAATATATATTTTAAAACTTAATATGACCCACAATATTTATCAATTTAAAATAATTTTAGGTATGTTTTAATCAAATAAGATATAAAACTTTTAACGTCAAGTAATTTAAAATACATTTAATTCACCAAAATAGTCTCCCAAAAAAATCCAGAGAAGTTTGTCCAGTTCCTCACTTTTGAATAGAGTATGTACTTCTCTCAGACACCTAATCTAACTCTTAATAACTTGTTAGATTCAACTTTGGGTAATTCTCCGTTTTGGAATTTTATAATCTTTTTACTTCAAAATAAAATTAATTAATAACAAAATATTGCTACCATTGGCTAATTAAAATGATTAATTCTTAAAATGTCTTGACAGTTTTGAACACATTAAAATGAAATACATCATTAATCAAAGCAAATTATTTAAATGGGATAATTTCTTTAAGCTAAGAAAATAATCCATAAGGTTATATTTTAGAGCCTTAGGTCTATCCATAAGATATAAATATATATTATTATTGTATGTTTATTATATATATAAATAATATATACCTATATTAAATATTTTTTTTTTTTTTTTTAAGGGTTTTTGACGTTTTGTTCTTTTTTTTATTTTGTTTTTAAATACAATTTTAAACAAATAACTTACTGACCAAAACTATATGTTATAGATCATACAAATTTAAAATATTATAGTTTTTTGTCCCAAAGAAAAAATATGTATAACCTAACCTTAATGAGTCTAATATGTCTCGACAAAAAACACAAACGGTGCACGGCAAAACAAAATATAACAGTGTTGATTTAATCTTGCAATTTCCAAAATTAATTATGCCTTTTTTAAGTTCGCGAATAACGGAATAGTGTACCACAATTATTGTCTATATCATCTGAACTTTCTGAACCACTATCTGACTGCAATCTAATAATAAAAACCAATGTTTTTAGATAATTACATTGAAAATATAATAATTCACCTTACATTGTGTAGGTAGCAGCCAGTTCATTGCATGTTGTTGGTATGTACAAGTTTTGTTCTGGATAAGCATCAATTTCATTGTACAAAGTTGGCTTATCCCATATATGTTGCATACCCATAATGTTACGAAGCATATCTATCATTTGAGGTCTATCATCTATGATACCTCTGACTTCACGTGCACGTTGTGGATTACAAAAGTCACTAAGCAGATCTTGATTATCGCCTGATTGAGATGTGTGCCAATTCTGGAATATTGGAAAATGGTAATGTCGTCTAGCAGTACGTGTTACTAAAACATTTTCATCATCGTCCCAATTATCTGTTTGAGTACCTAAATTCAATAAATGTTTTATTATAGAATATATTTTAATTTAGTAACTACTAGAAATTAAAAAATAATTTACCTTTATCTTGATTACAGACTTTATACAACAATCCATCATCTGTCCGTCTAAATTCATCTTTACCAATGTATAATTTCCCTTCAACTTCAACAGCGTCAAATGCTTCATAAGATAGATCGATTTCAAATTGTGAGCCATCTGGAAAAACTGCTGCACCAGCATCGACCAATTGATTAATGGGTTTGAATTTATCTTCTTTGGCTGGACGCTGAATAACTGCCCATGACATTGGCTCCTTTTTGGTATCAGTATTCAATTCTTTCCATGTGGTTTCTTCTTTAATATCCAGTGGCAAAAAAGCATCAGGCCAGCTATCATTACCAGAATCTTGTGCCCAAATACTTTTATCCATGTAAGAGCAATTTGTTTTTGAAAAATATGAAAATGATTTTGGAGAATCTTCAATACTAGAACCACGTCCTTCATCAGTAAATAACGGAGGATTAATGGGTGGACCACTAAACAACTTATAAGTGTCACATTCTTGTTTAAGATATTTTTCAATTAAAGTGTTGTCTTCATTAGAATCAATTAAAAAACGTTGATAAGATTCTTTAGGATGATAATCAGTTTTAGGTACATTCCGGGCCGTTGGCAAAAAAGAATAAGCAGGAGATGAAGATTCAGGTTTTTCTGTACATGTTGAATCCATTGTCCACTCAAGTTCAGACAACTTCTTACAAAAGCTAGGGAAGTTTTCTTTGGTTAAAAAATGACTATGGGACATACTTTTGATGTTTTTCTGACTGTAAAAAATGATATATTATTATAAAAATAATGATAATGTATCATTTAATTATATTTAAATTAATTTACCTGGTAATTTCAGTTTTCAAATAAAATTATTTTATTTTAAAATGTATTGGAGTATGAATAAAAAAATTAAGTTGTAAGTTATACTAAATAAAAAAAAGTACAAAACAGCCAAAAAGATTATTTATTGAGCTGATGAGTTTGTAGTTGAATATCCCATCTTTTTAAAGAAGGGATAGATGCTTAGTGGAGCATTTTTGGTTTCCTCTGGCTGAAAAAAAAACAAAAACAATAGTTATCGTGCTGTGTATTTTACTGTTGTACATACTAGGTATATTAACTTATATTAAAAACAAATTTAGTGATAACATTTTTTTTAAAGTAGTTAAAAAAATAAAATAGGGACTACTTGAACAAGTAGCTATAAATTAACATCATTAACATCTAGTAGTACCTACTTAGTCTACAACTTGAGTTATATTTCTCCTATATATGTATTGATTTTTATTCAATTTAATTTTAATTGGTTACATTTTCAATAAACTAAAAAAATTGAGTTTCTACTTTTAAAAGGAAAGAAAAAATTATGATACCAAATATAATTTAAATAGTAACTATATGTATTATGATTTTCTAGTAAGGTGACTATACCATAATTTAGTTTTAATAAATATTAAATTACTAATGCTTTATTGGTAAGGACAATGCTTAACTTAATTTAAACACTAATACCAAATATATGTTTTAACTTAGTACAGTTAAAATTAAGGCCAAATAACATACATGCATGCCAAAACCAAATACCAAATCATATTTGCACAAGTGTTTTTAAAACTCTTTAAAAATGGTTGCAAATAGAAATGTCTACATATTATATTCTTTGAAATGACAGAAACCTGATATTTTATATTAATAACTGAAATTATGATGCGTAAAATATTTAAATATTACACCTATTGATAAATCATTAACGTTTTATCCGTTAATTGAACATTTATTGGCATCTATGTTGAAAGTTGATTTTACATAGATAATAATAGACTAGACAGATTAATAGGTAGAAGGTACTTACGTATTACAATTCTGTTGGTCGCTGAATGCAGCGAACAGCGTTTAATAAAGTGTATTGGAATTCATTTTTTTTTTTCAATCGTTTTCTGTCTTCCTATTTGATGAATATTCAGGAGGCTTGTTATGAATACTAAAAATAAAAATAAAATAATTTTACCAACAATGTAAACTAACAAAATAAATATAAAATATATAGACATATAGTAGTAACAAAATATAAGTATAAGAAATATATTTATAGATATAATTAGTTGCTTAATTTAGTTATTACAGCATTACATTCTGTTTTTCAATTTTTTTTATATACAGCTATATACAGCTTTATACCTTAAAATGGCAATTTCCGACCTTTAATATTAAATTCAGATTATTTTTGGAATATCTAAATATTTTAATAATCAAATATACTATATACATGTATCAATTAATCTAATATTAAAATAATTGATTATTACTTAATAATTATAAATGTTTAAATAATAGTGTGCAGTTAAAGATTCAACAGTTAATATAGGGGTTAATATTTAGGTAGGTAAGTAGAAAAAATAATGAACACCCTAATTTATATGATCTCCTGAATTAAATTACAATTTTTAAACAATATATAATAATAATTTAAAAATAAATGATAGTAGGAAATTCCAAAAAGTAAAAAACACTTTTGTGGTACCTATTCAAGCATCCTGACACACTAAACAAGAAAATGGCTAAATCAACAACTACCATACTACCGATAGAATAAATAATAATAATATAACCCATTCCAATTTCCTACTCATAAAAATAATTTGTATAGCTGAAAGGTACTTAAATAAGTGCCTAATATTAAATACAACAATTCTGGATACAATTTAGATAATATTAAAATTAATTTAGGTAAGTACCTAACTAAACAATAATAAATAAAATACAACTCTAGGCAGTAATCTTGTTTTATATGATTTGTGTTATCTAACATGTATTCAGTATTAGTTATTTAAGTTATTACCTAATTATTATGACTAGAAATGGTCTGATCAGTTTGACATTTTAATTTAACTTTTTAGACAAAAATATTTAGAGCTCATAAGAACATTTTATAATCAAAGCCCACAATAGACATAACATATTTTGAACACAATGTCAGTAATATTTAGATTAGATAACAAAACAATTTGAGACTTTGGAATAATGAAAAAATATAATAACAGATTCCAAAATGTGTCCTATATAATTAGAGTAATTAATTTGAATTATACATAGAACATACAATAAAATATTAATGAGTAAATACTTTAATAATATGAACTTTATATTAATATAAGTAATTACATTACAACAAGTACACTATTACATAATACATTAACTTATCAATTGTTTGTTATTATTATTCATAAAAGGAAAATTATTTACAATATCTAATGTGTGTTTAATTTTAATATAGAAAAATTAATATTTACAACATAGGTACAGTTTCAGGTTTTTTAAATTTAATACATGAAATATAATATAGGAAAGAGATAATTTAAGGTTGATACCTATATTCAGGTCTATATTAAAATTGAGATATATACAATGTGTACTCTACACTTAACACATAAATTAAAAATTAATTTGTTGTCAGTAGATTCCTTAACAAACAGACTACTTATTGAGAAAATCAATCAACATATTTGAAGGTATGACAGAACAACAGAAAGTTAAATTTTTTGTAGAAACAACACAGATAAAACTTATATTTAAATCCACTAGAATAAGAAAAAAAATTATGAAATCTAGATGATACACATCTAAATAGTAACTACTAGTTAGACAAGCCTACAATCAAATTTATTGAATAAACAATTACCTAATTCTAACTAGTCTTAAGAATTGAAATTTATAGTTTAGGTAGGTAAAAATGAATTTTAAAAGAGAAAAGTTTAAAATACAGTTTTTGTATTCATAATTTTCAATAGGTACCAATGGGAAATAAAGAAAACAATTACAATAGACTTTTACTCGTGACAGAATTGTATTTATTTTAAGTGCCATACAATTTATAACTCTTCATTAGGTATTTATGGCTTATCAAGTAATACACTTATATGCTATATTATAATATAATATTATGCTCGTAATAATATTATGTTCCTGCGGTCTGCAAAGGACAACGATCACTAAAATATAATATAAATAAATCTATCTATGAAAAAACAAACTTAAATTCAACTCAATGTTCTGGTCCAAATAGCGAGAACACAAGACTTAACGCCTAAATAAAAATAAAAAAAAGTCGTCTATCAAGTGGGTCTTAAAAATCTTATCAATGTTTGTTTGAGAGTTGTAGGCTCAGTTGTTGGATAGAGATTTAAGTGAACGGTCTATTTGGTCACGGTTGACTTATGATTTTAGCAACAGACTCCAAACTTTGATCAGATTCATTAGAAAGTAGAGAGGTTCTCGAACTGATAAACGAAAGTAGCGACGGTGCTGTTAAAATGGCGCGAACCCATCGCGCGCAATGCAGGTGGTGGCCATATTGGGCCCGCGGCGGTACCGAGATGCGCGCGCTCGTACGTCAGACCACTATCACCACACCATCGATAATGCACACCTTCGACATTCCTCAGAACCATTTCACGGCTAGGGCCAAATGCGGACATTTGACGTTTGCGGGTTAATCAACTTATCGTTATAATAACAATCAGGCGTCGGAAAACTCACCTAGAACGTGACGGTAAGACGTTGACGACGACGTAGTACAGCTGCAGGTCCTACCGTGTGTATTTGTCCGGCCCCCGAGACGAGATCTGCTGCCGCCGTTGGGCTGGTCACGCACGCCTGTCTGTCCGGGGAACGCGAAGCGCGACGGACCGACGGAAATGTGTAGAATTCCAGCTCCGACGATTGACGACTGGGAAAAAAGTTAAAAGGAAAAAAACGAGTTTAAAAAAAAAATTCCAGTCGAAACGACGACCCAGAATGTTACGGACGGGCCCACTGAAGGACGAGGCCGCAGTGTTGTTGTCGGCGCGCGCGGTGAATGCGCGAAACGATTTGGATGGACAGGAGGGCAAGCGGAAGTTCGATTCCCGACCTCCGCCCATCGTAGCGACAGTGCTACCAACCATCCAAACATCAGAGGGAAATCCGAGTCGGCAGCGATGCACGCGCGCGAAATCGAATAGGGAAAAACTCGCACACGTCTACTGCGCAGTACCTACATAGTACCTACGCAATTTATAGTATGGTGTATTGGTGTGCAAGTGACAAGTACATTATAAAGTATAAACTGTTACTTACTTATGAAATGTCAGAATGATAGTAAATAATAATGATATACAGATTTAGATGTGCATGACCTAAGTACTGCGCTTTATACCACCACTTTTTTTAATCTACAATAATGACTTTGACTTAAAATCTACAACTATCAATTAATAACGTTGTAGCACCGACATAATATACCTGAACCTCTGTACAAGAGAGTGAGCATGACTAACAATGGCTTCCACGTTGGGGTACACGGGGGAGGGGGAGCATGCCACAACGTTATGACAGTTAAAATTAATTGTTTTATCACTTGTAAAAAAATTTATATTACTATTGTGCTCAGTGCTGCATCAGATGTTTTTGATTTCGCCCTCCTCCCCATTAGCTTATATTTCTGAAATCGCCTTTGATGACAACTAGGAATATAAAATCCTGTTTGTCGTTAGAGTAAGTAAATTAAAAGACACTAAACAGTTTACCTCAACACGCTTTTACATTTACTACAAAGGGCTTAACAAACATAACATATTATACACGCATTTACGTAGCAATTATAGCAACTACGTTCATTGTATTAATAATACATACACGTGTATCACTGTTGGACCAGAAATATATTAGGTAGGTAGATAGAATAGATAGATGTTTCTTGTTGTTGATTAAGCCAGTATGGCTTCATATGTTCATCATTTAATATGTAACTATTGGAACCAGGAGATCATTTTACTGCGAAAGTCTTGTCTTCCCGTCGAATGTTTATTTAAATCTTAAATGTATTTAATAATTATTTGAAATCATTGTAAGTTACAATGTCTTTAAATATTCAGTGATTAGTTAGAAAACCGGAGGTATTGGAAAATCTATAGGGATTAATAAGTATCAAAAATTCATTGAGACAATCTAATATAAATTAATATTTGTCTTAGTTTATTATAACATTATACTTGTGATGGTTTTAAATCGCAGGTCCCACAATTCATTTAAGTCAACTTACGGATTTCATTGTAAATTAAATTGTAGTCAATTAAATAGACTAGCGACTTATTACCGTGCATGTCGGGCAGTTATTTCTGTTGCTGTCACTGCAGCGGCCTATGCCAGGCGCCGGCGCAAGCCGCAAGGTACAGGCAACGAGGCAACACAGGCCTGTTGTCTGTGGCCTGTGCCTCGGTTCTAGGGCAGCATTTTCTTGGTAGGTATGTTGTATAGCAGATGGCTATTATTAGTTCAGGGAGCAAACTTACTTAGAGGCCCGTTTATTATTTTTTTTTAAACTCACTAATATTAAGAAAGAATTCTAAATTACAGGGATGCTACTAGGGATGCTGACTTATTAAAAAGACAATTTTTCATAACAACAAAAATAAATTGTTATATTACCTATAATCAGTTATATTTTACCAACGTGATCTTTACTTCTCTGCATTTAGTGGACATTCCGGATATAAATACTATCGTGAAGGAATCTCCTTAGGGCCGGATTTAGGGGAGGGCTGAGTGGGCTGCAGCCCAGGGGCCCCCACAAATTCAGGGGCCCACTAATGTTATGATATTTAAATTAAGATACAGAAAAAATATTTTATTTATATTAAATACTTATATTTACACGTCATATGCAATTAAATAATATTGAACATTATTTGGACATTTAAAAGATTTAATTTTACTAACTATAATGATAAATGTATTCGCGTTTTTTGACAATGAACGGTATCTAAGAATTATTTAGAATAGATAGGTTTTATGCCATCCGTAATCGGTGTTGATTTTCAAAACGTTATTGATAAGTTTGTACAAATGAAATTAAGAAAAGTTCCAGGCATTTTATTTTAATTATCTGACATTATTATTTTTATTATTCTTTATTTAATTACTTACACCTAATATTATGACGATATTACTTATACTATAGTTATATACTTGATTTGATTGTTTTTATAATTATTTTTTATTAAATAAGTAGTTAAATTGTTACTACTATAGTACGAGTAGTATACTAAATATGATAATAAATGTTATTTAATAAGTAAAAAAATATATTTTCTTATTTATATGTAAGAGGCACCCACAATGCATTCCGCCCAGTGGCTACCACATACCTAAATCCAACCCTGAATCTCCTCATTATATTTTGTTCAAAATATCAGCTTTGTATATTATGTAAAACGTACATTACCAAACACCAAGATATATATTAAATAATAAAATATTACCTACTGATAACCGTAATTAAAATAGGTAAAAATAACAGATTATATTGTATTACTCATGGACTTAGACAATAATATTATAATAATATTGTTACTTAATGATTTAAATATGAAAATAATAAATAAACTAAATAATAAATAATAAATAAACTAAATAAACATTGTATCTATTGAAAATTTTAAAACTTAATAAAATATTTTACCTTTCGAGATAGTCAATGGACAGGGGTGTAATTTTAGATTTATTAAGTTCGCAAGATTTTTAGCAGGTCATTTTGAAATTTCGCCAGACCAGGCAGACCATACAAAAAATAAATATAGGTACCTATCTGTATATTATACAGTTTTTAATTTTGTCCATGGTTACCATAACTGAATCAACATAAATAGTACCAAAATATGCAAGCAATGCATTAAAATTAAAAGCTTGAAGAAGATATTTTTTAAATTTGACAAATACTTCTACAACGACTGTTAATATCAATGCATAGTAAAAAATGACATAATAATCCAAACGGTTCGTATTTTATTAAAACGCTGTGATGCTGATTGCTGACGGATGACGTGTGAGTTGAAAATATAAAACTAAATAATGTAGGATCTTACTAGTGCGTCATTAGCATAGTAAATAGATTTTCGCGAAGATTACAAGTACGACAGCATTATTTTTAATTGCGTTTAAGCATAAAATATAATTATTTGTACTGTATTATAATTTATATGTACAGTAGCCAGTCAGTAGGTACGCAGCTGCACTTGATTTGTAATAGTCCCGTTCGATTAACCTACTTATGGACTATATTATTTTTATCTCCCGTGTGACGACATCTCTGTTGTTCTGGCGTCGTCGCATCAGATATCTGACAGAACGACGTAGCGACTATGATGATATAGTGACATACGAAGACACGTCGTAGTTGTGTTCTTTGGTGTAGTAATATGTATTTGTATCGCCAAGGTCAAAGTAGTTTGTGTCTGTTTTTCCCGTTCGTTCTTAAGTCAAAACAATCCGTCGTGTTTCGTGAATCGTGATGACGTTCTGTAGAATAGTGTTTAGAGGTTCAAAGTATAAATAGCTTAAAATAAGTTAAAATATTTTGAAAAATTGTATTTTGTGTAGATAGTAATAATAAATACAAATTGTATTAGAGATAGCTGAACTTTAAGTCTCTATATTAACACGTTTTTTTGTATTTAGTTTATAACAAAACAACAAATATTGTAAATTTATAGAATAATAATAGAATAAAAATTCAAACATTTAAAACGCTCTCTGACTTTTATAAGAATGTATTATTTTTGGTATGGGCCAATTTTTTTTAAAAAACATGGAGATTAGTTATGCTTATTCGGATATTCTTCAAAAATATTTTTTTTAAATTTTAATGGTTACTAATGATATTTATTTTATTACTAATTCTAGTTTAAATTTAAATTTGAGAAACTCCAACACAATAGCTTTGTTTAAAGGAGATAGATAATCGAAAATGTTATTTTCAATAATAATAATCAGGGCTGTTAATTAAATGCATTTGCATGTTTTTTTTGCTACACTTTATAAAAAAATGGATTCGGCCAAAATTTGTTTTGACTTATTTGTAGTTCAAATACCAAATTTTATTTTGCATATTTCATGGGATAGGGCATATAAATGAATGTTTTAATAATTTTTTTGTTTAAATGCTTTTTTTTCCTAATATTTACATTTTCTCTGTCAATCTTATAGTATAAACTATAACTTTTATAGTTTTATCGAAATTATTCCATTTTTACTCGGGTATTTAACGAGTAATATTATTGACTATTGTACTATTGAAGTCGAGATTAAATTAATTTACTGATATCAACTCGACGAAGACCAAGACTAGTTAAGATCAATAACTCATATTATACTCATACCTATATAGAAGTAAAAATACTAATATTTAAACTAAAATTAATAAAAAAATTATACTAATGAAAAAAATTTAAATAAGTTTAATTTTTGTAGTTTTTTTGCATCTTTTAAGAATTTTTAGAGCATATTTTGTCAGATTTTAGTGCATATATGCATGCATATTTAATAGTTTTTAAGTGCATTAAATTCACAGCCCTKATAATAATGTATGTAATTGTGTCTTTTCGTTAAAAAAAAATTAAAAAAATGTACAAATCAAAGATAATAATGCAAAATATTTTCTATTTAGTATTTTAGTTATAAAAACTCAAGTTTTTGAAAAATGTCAATTAAAAGCTCAATTTGAACAACTATGGCATACAATCATGAATAACATCATATTCTTTAATAAAATACAATTTTAATTTTAAAATCGGTAGTTCTAATATGCAAAAAAATAAATTCAATCGATTTTTGAATGTTCTTGGCCTTTAATTTATCAATTTATCATAGATAGCTTGAGTATATATGTAACCTAACTCAAATACCTTTTATCTAACAAAATGTAAATAATGAAGTACAATACAATTTCAAATAATTTGTTTTATGTATACCTACCTGTTGTATATACCTAAACCGTAAACCCCCGTCCCCTCATTGAAAAATCCTGGTTACGCC